TGCAATTCAAAGCGTACATATATTGAGTTGTAGAGAATTCCACGGGCTATCTGAATATACAATTACTTTTCTCAAAACTTTAATTTATAGTGATGATATATTAAAAAGATCGTGTAACACTTTTCCTTCCACAGAGATATATTTATAGAAAGTTGAATTACTGGAATTTAGAAATATATACAATGGCTCTAATGGAAGAAATCAGACTTCTGCGCTACAGACGTACAGCAGTCTGCTTTTTCACTCTTGAATGATTCTGTGAAACTTCTAATAGAATGTTCCTTTCTCAAGACACAGCATTTTGATACAAACTCAACTTTTATGAGATAACTATCTTTGATCATTCTACAGCACGACAAAAGAATAGTCTTTTTCACTAAAATTGTTAGAATCTTCTGAGAGTCAGTCTATGTCTCTATAAACCGATTTTCAGGTCGACATTCAATTAGTTGATTTTTAGGTGAACAGTTAAAAAATGAGTCGAAAATTTTGAGAAACCATTTGAAATGTCATTTAGTCAGAATCGTTTTAAAATTTCTCTAGTCTGATCAACATTTCACTATTTATTCGATATAAATTTATATAGGATATTACATTTAAGACGATTTCGTGCTGCGAATTAAGGGGTCTTGATTCCTAAAACATTTTAGCTGTACTATGATCGAAATATATGGTCGGTGTCAGGTTGAATACCAACTATTCGGAAAGGTTCGTTTAACATAAACATAACTATCCTCTTATCTAGGGAGCTAACGGTACAAAGTTCGACGATAACAACACTTAGAGGAAGAAAATGATTATATTCAAAAACTAGATAGTTAAATATTTGCTATAAGTAAGAACTATAAATATGATGCGAATATTGAAATTTTTCTTCTGACAGAGAAGCTCGAAATTTATTTCATATGTTGCGCAATCAAATTTAATCGATTTAAAGAAATGTTTCATCTTACCATCATGAGTTATTAATACTTTGCAAAATTCATCATAAATATTCTCTTGATCAGGTTGGACAACAAATTTTATTTTCCAAGGTAAATCTCTCTTCAAAAGATGCTTTTTTATTTCTAGAACCATCGTGCCAATTACAATTTGTGTCGAGCAACCATGTAATCCACATCCAATGGCTGGAAATGCAACCGATGTAAATTTATGTGATATCATGTTCTGTACAACAGTAGATATAAGATCAATAATGGACTGTCGAAGTATCTCTTCATCATCATTAGGTTCCCATTGGACAAAGAATATTTGTTTGCAAGATAAAGCGCCTGAAGACACTGCGATTAATGTAGAATTTGGATGACTTTTTAATTCTTTCTTATAAGCTTTTTCAACTTCACTTCCAGCTGCTTCTGTTATGGCTTGTCTTAAGAACACTGATGATGACGTACCAATAATAACGTCTACCTATCAAAGATAAGTATAGACGTAATGAAATCTCATAAGCATATTGCTTTTTTTCAAAATACCTTCTGTTTGATTATGTTTCCTTGTTCAATTTCGATTACTCCTTTTTTAACTGTTGCAGACATTGTTTTCAAATTAATCGGTGATCTTTCGGCTTCTAATAATTGAATTTGATTTTGAAATTCATCATAAATATCAGTTCTTTCTGGTTGTATTACAAATGTAACAGATATGTCATGCTCTTGTTGTTTACGATGAACTTCTCGAATCATTGTCTGTGCAACAAGATCGACTGAACATCCGAATTGACCACAACCGATAGCTGGAAATGCTATGCTTTGTTGATTCTCTTCTACTGCTTTTTCAAAAGCATCCGAAACAAATTTCTCAATTGATTCACGAAGGATCGATGTATCAGCATCAGCTGTCCACGAAAGAAAATAAATTTTTTTTGATGCAAGTTCTCCGTCTGCTTGAACAGATATGACAGAATTTGGAGACTTTTTAAACTGTGATTTGTAGGAAGCTAACACAGATTTTCCACCAGCTTTACAAATTTTCTCAAATAAAAATTTCGATGAGGAACATACGACAATAACATCAGTCTAATAGAGAAAAAATAAATTATTCAATTTGCTAGATTGTTTTTATAAATTTCTAGTTACCTTTTGTGTTATTAGATCACCTTTACAAACGTAGATTGATAAAGATGAATTTTGATTCATGTTCGGAGTCTGCAGTAAAAAAAAGTGATATTTTCTAAACTATAACATCAATTTCGAAAAATACTTCTCGACAATTGCAGATATCATGTAACTATTATATGAGAAAAATTTGAATTAATCATTTCTGATAATTGAGCAGTTTTATAAATTTTTCCAATCAAAATGGATCTTTGGAAATGAAAATCACACAAAATTTTTTGAGTATCCCGAAAGTTTTTTAGAAATTCGAGTAATGGATACGTATTTTAGAAATGTTGTTCCACCGACTTCTAGATCATAGTGTAATTTTTGGAATGGACAAAGGAGCTCACAACACACATACAGAGAGTACCTTAGAATGTTTCAATAATAAAAAACAGTATTTGAGAAAAGCAATAACAATATCGTTCAGTTATTGACAGCGTATTTATCGAGAAATTTTCAATGCGTCATAAAAATACGTATACAACGAGCCAGAACTTCCAAGGGTTCGATATTCTCGAGTTTAGTCATTCAATCCAAAGAAGTCTGGGAACACTGGCTCCGGTACATACCTACGTATAAAATAGAAAAAAAGATAAAAATCTCCTACGATATATATAATGTTTCCGATAAAAGTTGTGACGACTACTTTTGGAATTTCCATTGATTGTGATCTACCCTTATCTAAATTGAGCATTCTTCTGAAACTAGAGAGTCTTTATAGAACTACTCAAACTAGTTTAGAGAATGATTTCTTAACATTGAAATTGTTTTAGCGAGTGGATACACAAAAATCAACGATACTTTTGATTCTTTAGTGGCCGCTTTTCGTGCTGTTTCAAGATCATTGAATAAGACTTCATTATTTGGATCGATTTTAAGACCTTCCTCATAAGTATTAATTGCGTCTTTGTATCTTTTAAGAAGTAATAATGCTGCACCTTTCCGCGAGTAACCCTATGGAAAAATAAAACTAATAAATTTAACTATAAAAACACAAAAAAAAATTACTTTAACGAAATCCGATTTAAGTTTAAGACATTGTTCTGCATCTTTCAATGCTTCTTTATATTTATAAGCTTTTATGTAAGCAGCTGATCGATTACTATAGAGGTAATGATTATTTCCGTCAAGTGCTATTGCTTGTGTATACAAGTTAATGGCTTCATCATAGTTTTCTTCAGAAAAAGCATCATTAGCTTTTGATTTCAGTTTTTCGATCTAAACAAATTAGTAAAAATCTCTTTAAAATGCTGAACATGAGAACAGTACCTGTGATGCCATTTAGTAAATATAATGACTACTGCCAATAGAAACAAAATCTGAAAAAAATATGTATATACTTATAAGTTCTTGAAATTATTTTCCTGAAAAATACTAAAAAATAGAGCGTCAGTTGTCCAAATAAGTCAGCTGCCGAAATTATCATACAGAGTCTGTTTTCTATGTCCTTGTAGTCCATCGTGAACGAGTGAAACCATTATTTATATAAAAATAAATGACGTAACTTTTGATTTTCTTAAAAACGGTAAAAACTATTGAAAAGAGTTTACTTTCAAGATAAAACGAAACTCACAAATTTCTATATTATACGAATTTCGATTGATAAGACACGACTTGAAAGTCGAATAGACTACAATATTCGAAATCAGTGCCAAAATGTGTGACGCTGATTCTCAATATTAAAATTAGTTCGACCTACAAGAGTATTTTGCGAAAGAAAACTTCTACAAACCTATTTTTTTCTTTGGAAAAGTCGTTAAATAGCTCTATGAAATAGAGATTTACAATTCATTAAAATAGTTATTCAGCTTTCAATATCAAATATCTATATATAATCAGATTTCTTAACTAAAGAAATAACGCCACGTGCAGCTGAGATTTCATACGAACACGAAAATCATCTAACATTTTGGATGAAAATAGAGCATGAATACTGTTTTCTTCGAATTGATTACTCATGTAATATTCTTGTTGCAGCGCAAATAAGGCACGTCTCGGAAGTTAAAGAAAGAAAAAAGGCAATAAAATACCTTTTTGTGGCCACTTTTTCTTCCTGTCGATCACGAGCAGCAAATGAAAAAAAACATATTTATTTTCTTTGAGTTTCAATTGTGTAAGTGCACCAGCATTTCTTGCAGCTAATCATGAAACTATCGATTCAACGAAGACAAGCAACATAGAATCAATAAAACAAGCTTTTGAAGCTTCAAAAGAACTTTAAATAATAATACTTGAATAACTACAAGAAATTTTTCTAATCCCTATATAGAACAATTCTACTTGCACATATTCTTGCAAATTAATCGACGATTCTTTGACTATGCTTATGATTTGAAAATTAAAAAGAAGCGTAACATGAAAACTATATTTTGCGCTGTAGTATGAGAATGTGAATGGCTAGTGGATAAACGATAGATAGCAGTAACTGGTCAGTCAATGGCATACTTTTATGCCATTACAAGTGCCTGTTTCAGGCTAAGACTCCTGTTTTAGAAAAAAACGATTTTGGTACGGCTTAAAAAGCGCACATTCTTCTGAAGACTAAGAGTGATACTCGCTTTCGTTTGATTGAATATTACAGAAGTCATTCTCCTTCCTTTTTTCATTCTCAACTATTCAAAATATGAAAATGATATTGTGGGATCCGCCTGTTCTCGAGGAGATTCACACACAAAGTCATACCCGCATCCGATATCTGATGGATAAATGGTTGATAATAGCTGGGAT